AACAGAAAGGCGGGGAAATGAACTGGAAAGGCGCCGAAAGGAACGGAAAGGTGAGAAAAGGAACCCGAAACTCGAGTAAAGTAACGGGAAAGGGCGGGTAAAAGAACGGCAAAGGCCAGGAGAGGAGCGGGAAACGCGAGAAAGCGACAAGGAAACGCGCGGAAATGAACGGGAAAGGTGCCGAAGGGAACCCTACAGGCGATGAAAGCAACGCTAGAGGTGCGGAAAAAACGGGAAAGGTGGGGAAAGTAACGGGAAAGGCGCAGAAAGGAGCGTGAAAGGCGCAGAAAGCAACGGGATAGGGGCGGAATTTAACGGAAAGGTGCGGAAAGCAACGGAAACGTGCGGAAAGTAACCGCAAAGGTGTGGAAAGGAAAAGTAGATTCGAGTAAAGCGACGGGAAAGGCGAATAGTTAGTGGGAAAGGCGAGGAAGGGAAGGGGAAACGCGAAGAAGTGAAACGGAAAGGCAGGAAAATGAACTGGAAAGGCGCCCAAAGGAACGGGAAAGGCGCCGAAAAAAAGCACGGAGGCGAGGAAAGGAACGCCAGAGGTGCGGAAAGGAACTGGAATGGTGTGCAAACTAATGGGAAAGGTGACGAAGTGAACGAGAAAGGCACGGAAGGGAACGAGAAAGGTGCGGAAAGGAACTAGATAGGCGTGGAAGCGGACTTCAAAGGCACGGAGATGGGCGTGAAAGACGCGGTAGGGGACTTGAAAGTTGCGGAAAGTAACGGAAAAGGTGCGAAAAGTAACGGGAAACGTGCGGAAAGGAACCCGAAATTAAAATACGTTGAATGCAGTGGCGTCGAGATCACAAAAGTTTGGGTCCTACTATTCTTTAAATTTAAAAAAAAACAGTCAATCAAACATTGTTTAATACGTTCATAGTAAGTGTACTCTTTTTATTTAAGTCACACTCCCTGAAATATGGCATGAATTTTATGAGTATCGCCAAGAATTAGGTAACTATTTTTCTTCAAATATCCATTATTCCAAGAAGGGTTGCCATCTGCAGCTCATTCACATTGTTATTTCCTGTAAACTGACTTCAGCACGCGCTGATGGTCCTTCTTCACTGCTCGGAGGAGATCGACCATCACAAGAATGACTTTCACTACTTTTGGCTTGATCATTTGCATTTGAATCCTCAGTCATCGATACTTTAGTATCTTTTCTCTATTTAGGATCAACATTGCTGAACGCCGGGCAGAATGTTTCAATGATTTGTATCTGCCCTTCTGCTTTCTGTGTCAATACAGAGTACAAACGATGGCGTGATTTTCGTTTGCTGTGCGGATTGGGATACAAAAGTGTATTTTAATTTGTTCCCTACGTTAAATCTTTTCACCATTATTTTTTCGAGTGCTAGACCGCTCGGTCATAAATGTTTTTGATCTATACTTACAATTTTGTTGTGCACTTTTCGGCGTTCCTAATCCACTAGTAGTTGGCAGCCGTAAGCCAGAAGTGTCAAAATGTGATCATACATTCACCGATTAATATAAAATTCATTATTTATTTGCGTGCTCAAATAAATGCCCAATTAAATGAAGAACACGTTGCTCATTGCCAAATATTTTCGCCAATACTAAAAAATCTCGACGCTGAACTACAGATATTTGCGCATCAAGGGAAATTCCACAACTAAGGCTAAATGAAGAGTTGTGGTTAGGAAACCGCCATTTATGATCTTTGCATGTACAGAAGTTAACGTGTCGAAAGACAATCCGTTAAATCGTTGTCGCTGTATCATTTACATTCGTCAGTACTCCAGGTATTGTTATTTATATGAATCTTGGAGTAAACTTGGCTGTCAGCTCAACGTTATGTCAATACAAACGTGTAGCTACAGTCATCAAATGCTATATTTTCACTGGTGATTAATGTTTCCTTTTATTTAATAGTGTGCTGCTGTTTCCTCTGCAGACAAACGGAGGAACCGTAGGGTGGGTATAACGCACTTCGTGGTCATGCTCACCTGTGACGAGAAAAGGGAGAAAGAAGACAACCAGCAAATCACGTTTACCAGTGGCATTTTCAATCATCTCCCTAGCGGCGGTAGACCTTAACCTTGAAGACGATGTTCTTCGTGTTCAAGTCGATTTTAATATTGATGTCCACCTATGGCGATTAATAAATGACAGACCATTGCAGCAAGATTGCAAGAACACTACAGCAATGGGATTGAGAAGACGAATCGTTGGACAATCGCGTTTCGACAGAGTCCGAGGATATCGAATTATGATTATGTAAACCGGACCGTCTTCAACATGATCGCTCCGCAATAGTCCTTAGGTTGACATTGATTTCTGTTGTGACATCTCATTAGCACTTTTTGACCTGACCAGCTTCAAACGCATGCTCTTCGATGATGCACTAGAAGTCACAGTATTGAGTTCATAGTATTGAGGTCTTAATTCTCTACGGGAAAAGCATTGATCTGAGGCAATGAATTTCGAGCAAGAACTTATTCGTCATATCTAAAGCCAAAATCTATAATTCAAAAAGAATTATTTGATAAAGACGCCTATACGTGTTGTAGAATATCAACCATTCGAATCAGCTCTGAGTCGGCTCTGACCTTCACTTGCTCAGATTTCATCTACGCTGTGTTGAAAGATTGAACAAGAACAGAATGTCTGAATGAAGATGAACTCAATCAACGCTAAGTAGTTTAAAGTTTCTGTTTTTCTCTCGGTAAATTTCTGCTCATAACTTTTCTCCCTCATTCATTCTGTTCAGCAACAAGATTTAAATGGCATGTAAAATTATACACTGTTGTGCACTTCGCTTCCACGGTTGACGAAACACCTTCGTCGTTGACTCCTCCCAGCACGTAGGTAACTGTCGGATGGACTTCTGTTGTCAATGTGGATGCACATGGTAATTCCGGATATCCAAGGCTGTTGTCCTTCAGACGAGCCACTGGGCAGCCCATCGTGTCCGCATCGAACTATCGCATTTAGAACATGACTTTGAATTGTGACGTTAGGTTATCTTGCGTGTTCTTGATTCCGTGTTCTTAAAACCTCATCTGGCGAACCGTAGACCCTGTCGTACTATGGCATTGCTCAGAATAATTAGCAAATCCACTGCGGGCTGGTGTCTTCACCTCGTGTAGATCTTCGGCAGCCATCGCCGTGTTGTTGTGCCAGCTG